TAAAAAGAGTTTTAAAAGTGATTTCTGGCCTTTTGGGTTCATAGCAAAGTATCCTAAACAAAGCCCTTCCATAACAATGTTCTATACACTTGAGAGAAATTTGTCACAACACATCTGGTTGATGATCTCAGAAACATGAAGGATTGAGGGAGCATCGCAATAGACCTGCCTTCTAATTGCTCTAACCAGTCCTCATGCAATCAGATGTTCCTGGGGCTATTCATGTCGATAATTAAATAGTTGGAGTCTCCAAGATAGGTTTTGGTACATTAATTCGTTATGGCATCAGGGAGGGAGTTTACACTGCCTTTGCCTCTACTATAAGTGCCCTGGTAGTAAACTAGGGGCTCAGGATGAAAACAGGTAACTGGTTAATCGGTTACCAGGTAAACATCACTAATGACTGGTTAACCAATACCCGGAAGCAGACCCTGCTCATAGGGGGGCCAGCAGCAGCAGCCCAGGGCAGGGGGAGCGGGATCCCACTTAATTGGTTAACCAGTTAAACCTAAGGTTTAATCAATTAACTGATTAACCAGGATTTTACATCCCTACTGGAGGCTAAAGTCTCAAAGGGTGTTCAGCCGACTACATTGACCACCATTAAAGTAACATAACATCCATCATAAAAGCTGACAAATACAGACCAAAAAATACTTGAAATCAGAGGTGTTGATTTTATTGAATCATGAAGATAAACCAAAATGAAATCCAGTTGTTTGCTCAAGTGATCCACAAGAGCCCCTTCCCATTTCCACTATGGCTACGTCTACACTGGCCCCTTTTCCGGAAGGGGCATGTTAATTTCACCTATCGTAGTAGGGAAATCCGCGGGGGATTTAAATATCCCCCGCGGCATTTAAATAAAAATGTCCGCCGCTTTTTTCCGGCTTTTAAAAAAGCCGGAAAAGAGCGTCTACACTGGCCCCGATCCTCCGGAAAAAGCGCCCTTTTCCGGAGGCTCTTATTCCTACTTTGAAGTAGGACGCTCTTTTCCGGCTTTTTTAAAAGCCGGAAAAAAGCGGCGGACATTTTTATTTAAATGCCGCGGGGGATATTTAAATCCCCCGCGGATTTCCCTACTACGATAGGTGAAATTAACATGCCCCTTCCGGAAAAGGGGCCAGTGTAGACGAGCCCTTTATATGTCACATGACTTAGATTAGCTATGATGGGAGCATGGCAGAGAAAATACACTCTTGATAACCCTGGAGTTCTCAAAGTCTCTAAAATGTTTACAAAGTTCTGTAGCCTGGTATAAGGCATAATAGTTTGTGCAACAGTTGGGTAGTCCTGTGAGATAGATAGCCAAAACCATTAATAAATTTGCATCCATTGGGATGAAATGGCACACGTTATAGTGAAAACTCAGAACAGGACTTGTATACATTTTTGTGTGGAAAATAAGTTTTTTAACTAAACAACGTTTTCACAAAAGCAGCCATGAAAAATGTTTATTTTTTAGTCTACAGAATTAACACCATGAAACAGAAATATTTTTTTCTTGAAATGCCACTGCAGAGCCTCATAGTAGTTGCAGTTAAGTTGCCTCATGCTCCTATTTTTCTCTGTGGACCAGGCTCTTAGGCCAAATTTCATCTCCCATAATGTACTGCAGCTATATGACTTTCCATGATGTATCCCCTCAGCAAGAGGAAGACCATGGTGCATTATGGGAAATATAGTGTGACCAGGGATCCCAGCCCATAGAGAGGAAAGGGAACATGAGGCACTATTTCAGAACCCCCCAAAAAATGTATTTTTAATTTTTCACCAAATATTCCATTGAGGAAAAAAATCACTTTCTGCCTACCTAATACTAATTTTGTTTTATATCATGTCAGTGGCTGGAGGAGATTTCATGGGTTTAAATTTGAGAAAAATACCCTAGAAATGTCTCTGAATAAAATCCTAACCTTCCATTTTGCTTAGTTGCTGAAATAATAGGGTTCAGGACACATTTTTTTAATGGTGAGAGAAAACCCACTTGCCTAGTGCTCCTGCTAGGGTGTGGAGTGAGGGTATGGGGCACCCATTTTTCAGGGGCCCCTAATTGGCTGGGGTCAGGTTTCAGTGGCCAATCTGCCACTGCCTGTTGCCACAAGATGGGAATCTTGGGTAAGGGCACTGAGAGCACATTGAGTAATTGGGTCTGCTGCCAATGTGCCTCTCATCAGACATTGTCTTCCAAGTGCTGCTCTTCTCTTCTGCTATCTGCAAGGCAGAGTATGTGCTTGAGAGATAGTACAATCTAACGGAATAAGGATGAGAGACCCTTGGGATCATGTTAGTATTGCTCACATCTTTGCTGGTGGTTCACTATGTCGTTACTTGAAAGTCACTTCTCTGTCACAGTGTACTCATCTTTAAAGTTAGGACAATATGACAAGCTGATAACACCCTGTATGAGGTGAACTGTTGTTTACCATTCACACTAACAGCAGCATCTTGGATCACCTGTTGAATATTTCATAGAACAGCACAATATGGTTTCTGTCTTCTAAAATTATTTGACTCAGAGCCATTGGCTCCAGAAATTCTTACCAGCCTTCATTCCATTGTGTAATGAAAAGAAAATACACTAGGCTTCAAGTAGCACACCCAATTTTCCCATCAGGGGATGCTTAAATACTAGGATTTAAAAATTACAGGAGAGTTTCATTTGTATATTTAATTACATGGCAAGGAAAATGAATACCCCAATATAGAGATGTCATGGCATACTTAAATGTAATGATATATTTGCCAGTTAATACAGAACAAGCAGGCATGTTTTTCTTTTATTGACCAATAAGAAGAGAAAAAAGGGAACAAGTCTGTCACTGGTTGTGCCAGGCACAAATAACATCTTAGAATAATAATAAATAATTCTCCTCCCCAAATTCCATGCTGATGGACTATGTGCTTTAGGACTGTCACTTTATATTTACTAATCAACTCATGACAAATCTATGACTGTGTCCCATGCATAAGTAGTGTACTTGTACATATTTCTATAGGGAATTATGCAGTGGGAGGCTGTATGGTGGATTACTAAGATTCTACAGTATGCTTTACAAATCAAACTTAGGCTTTTTATAACCAGACATGTGCTTATCAAAATGTTTCAAGCCATCAGGCACATTATGAATTGGCTCAACGTGTGAAAGACACATTAAATTATTCATTTTCACTCTCTAGTTTAATGTTACAGATTCACACACATTCGTTGTTATCCTTTTGAAAACATAGAGCAAAAATAAAACTAAAAAAATTATTCATGACAAAAGGGTGTACAAGAACGTGAGGTGGGAAGGAGAGCATAGTCCAACTGCCTATTCAGGAGCAAAATAGCTATCCAGCATCGTAAGTGCTGGAACTGAGGTGTGGGGGTGTGCAGCAGCACTCTCTGACTTGAAGTGGTTTTCATTATATACAAGTTTAGGTCAATGGCTCCAGGCACCCGCACTATAAAAATTGTTCCAGCGCCCCTGTCCAGCATAAATCAATCCACTGTCTTCCAAAGAGCTTTATTTATTTACAACAGCTGAGGATCAGACCACAGATTTTAAATGCTATGAGATGGAATCTAAATAGTTGCTTTCTCTCCACCCCCGTTCCATTGCATTATTTATTAGAAATTCCCCTTTACAAAAATAATGTTTCAAAATCAGGTTCATATCCAATTTTCGAGATCATGCCTTCACTCATTTCAGGGCAACATATTTAAAGAGCTTTTATGTGATCAGATGCAAGATTTGCACTCTGGAGCTTTCGATGGAAGGGGTATGTTTAATGGACAGCCATGTTTAGGAGAAAGAAAAAAGGGAAAATGTGAAGATGTGATTTCTGGAGGTGAGAGGAAACGTCTAGAAGTCAGCATTTTTGGGTCATCTGTGGTCTACACTAACTTGTTAGTGTTTCTGTACCTCATTTTCCCAGTCTGTAAAATACATATGTGAATAACATCGACTGAAAAGATTAGGAAAGAATCATTTATGTGATACAGACTACCACACAGCCAGGAACTGGACTGAGATCATGAGCTCATTTTGCATTACCCACTAAAAACATATCACCTAGTTTTAACGTCCAGTCATTGGCGACATGAACTGGATTCTAACCAATTACCTACAAGCAAATGGCTGTGCTTATATCATAGTACCAGTCTCCAGAGTCATGAAATCCTTTCTGGTGGACATTCTATATCCTCAGTAATCTGTGTTCTAAGCTTCAGGTAATGTTCTAGTAAAAGTACTGGTGAATAAAGCACACCAACTTTCAAGGGCTTCCCCCATCAGACGTTTGGGGCTCACAAACGGCATATATACACTAGAACATTATTTCAGAATAACTTATTTCAAAATAATAACTCCCAAAATAACATTTTCAAATAAACATTATTCCTTGTGGAAAGCAGGAGTTATTTCAAAATAACCAGCCTCTTCCTTCAAAATAACAGGCTTGGTAGTGTGGATGCTCCGCTTGTTATTTTGAAATTAAAGGGTTATCTCAAAATAACTCCCTAGTATAGATGAGGGCCAAGAGAATAAAACAAAATATTTATAGGGATTCATATAGGAAATAGCTATAAGAATGTATATCAGGTTTAATTTTTTAATAGCTGATTTCATTAACTTTTGTTATTGAAACAGTATGCTCTTTTTTGTAACTCATTGGCACCAGACAGTGGATTTTCCTTTGTAAAATGTATCTTGGTAATTACTGTCAATGCAAATGGGATTGTTATGTTCATAGCAGTCGGAGGAACTCTCTCCTCTAGTAGTTTTGCATCATTCTACTTTTTCAAAGCCACAACGGGATGATTTATCAATAATGCCATCTAAGGATCTCTTTTAGACTGCATAATCAAGAAGTAGACACAACAAATTCTTAAATATCAATACTCAAACTTGGAGTGCCTTGGTTTCCCATATTAATACGCAGACTGAGGAATCTGATTGGGAATCAAATGTCAGAGTCTCTGACACAGGAAATTACATTGGTTAAAAGGGATGCCAAAATGAAATCACAGCTCACTTTTTCCCATCTCAGAAACCCTTACACATACAAATATACATGAAACGCAAATTTGAAATAACTTTAAGGTCAAATGAAGCCGAAGAAAGCCTCAAAGAGCCTTGGACTTAAACGGAAGGGCAGCAGTTAAAGGAAAGGAGTACGGCTTTTTCAGGCACAGCTATACTAGGGTGGGGGTTGTGGAGGTGCACTGCCTTAGTGGCAGCTGCTGGAGGTACAGGTATCCTGTATAGTCTCAACAAGGTTGTGTGCTTCATAGGAGCAAACTCAGAAATGGCAGCTACAGAAGGGTTTCTGTGTGAATTCTCCTTATTCCTTGACTCTGAATATTACCAGGATAAAATGAGCAACCCACCCTACCATGAACTGTTGTATAGGGGAAGGTGGAGTCATGCTAGTCTCTCCACTTGCACTTTGGTAGTTCAGAAGCTAGCATTCAGTCTGGCCATGTGTAGGTGCACAAGAGTTGCAAGGAGAAGTGGGCTGCAGCAACCCACAATCTGGTGCTAGATTAAAGGGAAAATAAGCAGGCTCTTTTACGTAATCTTCTAAAGTAAAGTAATCTTTCACTTTTGTAGGAGGTGTGGAAGCCTGCATAGGCTTCTGAGTCTGTCCAATGTATTTTAAGAGGCAAGCAAGCAGATTTTTTCAAACATTTCATGCTTTGCCAAATTTCATCCACAGAGCCACTTTTTAGAAGTTATTCTTACCATCCTGCTTGAAAATATACTACCAAAGTTATCATCCTATGGGCTTCAAGCCCCCTGGGAGTTGTTCCAAGGGCTACAATTCTATCAGGGTGCTGCAGCCGCCTCAGTACAAGTCCAGGTGGGAAGCACATTGATTACTCTTGAGGCATTTGGAGCCTTATAGGGAGCAAAGGGTGGATTCTGCAGTAAAATTCATAGCCAGAGAACAGCAGAATACCTGAATACACACATTTATAGATAGCACAAGTTAGGTAACTGCAACTTTGCATGCATACACACTTTTTAAAGCATATTAATGCAACAAGTGTCATACACAGGTGTCTGCATGTGCAAAGTTGCAAACATATCACTAGGGACTGAATGTTAAACCCATAATATGCTAGCATGAAAATCTAGTTCTTGGTTTCACTCTTCATACTTCTTTGGACTTGTATTTGGAATGCAAACAGTACAAAACCTCCAATGTAGTCTTCATATTTCCTTTCACAATATCTGTGGATACACAAGAAAGAAACAAGCCAGCTGGGAAACGTTAGAAATCCTTGAGATAGAGAGACTGCACATCTTAAAGCATTGAAGGTAATCTTTCACTTTCCCCAAATTATAGTCTAACTAAATTCAAGAACCAAAACAGGAAATATAAGTTATCAGATTTTCTTGATTTCTTAAATTAGTCAGGAGAAGAAAAAGGTGCCTTTACCACAATGGATCAGTAATATACAGAAAGAAACAATTCTTCATTGGCAGACAACAGAGTAGATAATTTAATAAGATTTGATAGCTGTATTTTTCGTAATTCTACAATAATGTGAATAGTAGCAGGCATTGCCTTAACTCTTCATTTCCTGGCTGGGATAAGCCAGAGAAGAGCGCCAGTCTAGACGTGATTCCCCAGAAAATAAGCCCTTTTCTGAAGGATCTCTTATTCCTACTTGAAAGTAACACTTTGAAAGTAGGAATAAGACCCTCCGGAAAAGGGCACTTTTTCCGGAGGATCGGGGCCAGTGTAGACGCTCTTTTCCGGCTTTTTTAAAAGCCGGAAAAAAGCGGTGGACATTTTTATTTAAATGCCGCGGGGGATATTTAAATCCCCCGTGGATTTCCCTACGACGACTGGTGAAATTTACATGCCCCTTCCGGAAAAGGGGCCAGTGTAGACGAGCCCGTAGTGTTTGCATATTGTTCTGTGATTGTACTTCCTGCTTTTTGGAGGTTTCAATTTTCAGGGGCTAACTTCCATATTCTGAAAGTGCACACTGTACTGCTAAGCAACCTCAATTCCTGTTTGACAAAATATTTGCTAATCAATGCATCTGCTTGTATTCAAACCAATACTTCATCCAAATGATGAAAGATGTAGAGGGCTTGATGCTTCTCTTCAGATCGTGTAAAGGTATGTGGCTTTGTACTGAACACAGACCAGCATTAGGACCACGAGGCCACATCTTCAGCTGGTGTAAACAGTATAGTTCTATTAAACACCAAATTGCATCAGCTAAGCATCTGGCCTATGTAGCTGTATATAAATGACACACAGATGTTGAAGTTTATATTTCCCACATTAATCAACAGTAAACATTACTTGAGGCAGTCCTGCACATTTTGAGAAATGGATGTCCATTGCTTTTAAACAAACCCACAAAAAAAGGTATAACCTGGGAAAGCCAAATCAGGGAAACTAGAATGGTCCACTAAACTCCAGGTTCCATGCACAGGGCATAAAGACTCCGCTTTCTCTCTGCCATTTCACAAATCACTTACATTGACATGAATGACAGATACCCATGCGTAGAGCAGGTTGGAAAAAAGCCATCCAAAACAAAAGTTTAATGAAAAAAGATAACCAAAAATTTTCATAATTCCCACACCTTCCATTTTGTATTGGCTCTACCCAATAATGTAGATATAGCTGACCCTTATATATGCTCATATGTATACATATTCTGAACTTGCTCATGAATGGACTACCCAAATGGGAAAAGGTGCAATTTTTAACCCTGGAACAGCTTTCTGGTAAATTGCCCATAGCTTAACATCTTTATTTAAAGACTTGGGGCCTCTCTAAAACATACGCATTAAATCAGCAGCAAGTTATGGATTCAAGAAAGATTGGGTGAAAATAGATGCTCTGTGTTCTTCAGGAGCTTGAACTAAATGGTCATAATGGAATCTTCTGGGTCTAAAAATCTAATCTATTCACCTCCTGATTTTGGCACACACAGCACACTTACCTCCTAAGTGGTAATTTCAACAACAATTGATGTATCTTAGGGTACATCTACACTACAGAGAAGACTGAAGCTACTGCTGTCTCTCTTCCATGGTTTGAATTAGTGGTTCTTGTTAAGACAGCCAATTTGAACTGAGAAGGGTGCTCCGGTCGATGCCAGTAATCCTGCTTCCATGAGGAGTAAGGGAAGTAGAAGGAAGAGTGTTCTTTCTTCGACTTCCTGCCATGTGGACAGCGCCAAAAGTCAAGTTAAGGTATTTCGACTTCAGCTACGCAATTAACTTAGTTGCGTATCTTAATTTGACCTTAGCCTGTAGTGTAGACACACCCCTAGATAATTTCATTCTTGCTTTAAATGGTGTTGACTTATTAAAGTGGGTATTGTAACAACAGAAATTTTTTTTTTTTTTTAAGGCTAGATTGTTAAAATATAGGATATTTACAGGGCATACTTAGTAAAGGAAATGTTATGGAATATGCAGGCGTCATGATGGAGAAGATTCTCTAGCTGATGGCCTTAGCTCTTCATGAATCAAAGCAAGAATTATTCTCTTCCAGAACAAATACTATATTGTGACTCACCTTCAGCATTGACAGGAAAATCTAAAATACCTCCATCTGTCAGCAAAGCCACTGCAAGGTTAACATTGTGAATCTGTTGATCAGAAAAAGTGCTCAATGAAACAGAAAGTGAACTCTACTCAAATATAGAGAGTGTATGCTTTATTTCTTTGGCAGTTGAAATGGGAGTTAGCTATACTACACCAACATATTTTTCATAATCTCTTTAATTCTGATGGAAAGTTTATAATCACTTCTACCAATTACCAAATCAGAAAAAAAGAAACCAATTTTCCTTTCAAAATTACATGAAAAGGGATGAAGAAAGATCAACTCATTTAAAAGTTTTCTGAAAGCCTTTAATTAGATCCCAAAAGCTCTAAGAGTTTGATAAAAATACAGGAAAAACTTTAACATCAAATTAAATTTGCAGAAAGTATTCTATTTTTCATTTAGAATGCTAAATGTTTGCAATGTTCTGAACAACTGTAACAATGAAAATTAGGGTAAAGTTTTAACATACAAAGGTCTAAATTCATACTTATTATTGAGGATATCCTCATGGATGTCACACAAAAGATATTTTTCTGCTCTTTGGTACTTCCTTTTATAGCTTCTTCCCAACAGGACAACAACATTGTAAGTGCTGCATTCATTCCAAAATGACAGCAGAACTGTTGATTTTTATTTATTTTAAATCCAGATCCCATTCCCTTCTTGATTTTAACAGCCTAAAGACAGATGGTATATTTAGGGACTGTCATTAGACTGTTCCTTTCATGAAGAAAGAACAAAAACTTAAATTGCTTTCTTAGCCATTCTGCTTCTTAGTGATCAGTTTATCCTTCAGGAGGTACCATTTACAGTGCAGCTATCTTTTATTCTGAGATACCTTTGTGTTCCATTTGGTTTTGTGATTTACAAACAACAGTGACAGAGTTTGAAACTAGCTTTATAATCTTCTCCAAATCCATGACAGACAAGGAAAATGAAAGGATTATATGGAGCTGCAAACTGTTTACCGCGGGATAAATAAAATGATTGTTTAATGAAATTACCAAGTAAGAAGGGTCATTTTTTCCCCCTCAGCAAGTTCATGAGACTTCCACAGAAAAGTAACAGGTAGAACTTTTATATAAACCTTAAGACACAATACTGACATTTCCGGCAGATAGGCAAACTGGTTTGGATAAAGGGAGCACATTCATCTTTCTGCACTTCCAGATGGAAGCAGAGGCACTAGAATACTGGTCAGCATTTCCATCCTTATAGGAAGTAGCCCCATGCCATTAGCTTGTCTTTGTTCCCATTTCTTTCCTTTCCATCGCCTGACACATAAGCATTGGCTTTCTCTGGGCCCGAGGGCTGCTCCATCCCCAACTCTTCCCCAAAGCCCCCACCATCTCCACTTCTTCCCACCCCCCACTCCACTCCAGGCCCTGCTCCCACATTTTCCCCCAAGTGCTCACCCCATCCTACTACTTCCCACCTGCTTCCTAAGCACATGCATCCCTGCTCCTTCAACCACCCTCCCAGAGCCTCCTGTATTAGGCAAAGCAGCTGATTGTAGTGGGAGGAGTTAATCGGTGAGGTCACCAGCAAATCAGAGGCACTGGGGGGAATTGGCTGCAAAGCACCTATTATTTTTTCCATTGGTGCTCCAGGCCTGTAGCACCTGGGAGTCAGCGCTTATGACCGGACATGTCCTCTTTTCTTCCTGAACACAGATGGGAGTTCATGTGCATGACCTGCAAGCTGATGGGTATGTTGGAAGAAAAGGTTCTTGGACTGGAGGAATAAGGAGAGATACTAAAGTACTGAGAATCAGAGAAGCTGAGGGGATCCTAAGCAGCCCAGCTCAGGAAACACTGTTCCAGATGTTCCCTCTAAGCTGCGCAGCCACATAGTTTCCCATTGAGCCCTGCGCACTGACTAGAAAGCCCTGTGCCAGGGCTTCTGATGGCAGCAAGAGGAGATGCCTCTCCCAATGCTGCTGTAGCTGGTGGAGAGGTGCCTCTCCCTCAAGCCCCAGCATGGAGCTTCTATGGCTGGGGCATGAAAGCAGCCAGCAGCAGAACTGGCTATCACCTGTTTAGGAAGGATCAAGTAGGGAAAAGGAGAAGGAGAGTGGCACTCTGTGTCAAAAGCAGCACTACCTGTTTCCAGATCACTGAGCACTTAGCAGAAAATTATCTTGATTGCTTCAGATCAGTGTCCTACCTGATAAAACACACAGATGGGGGACCAGTTGGTGTCTGCTATGAAGCAGAGTATCACAATGGGGAACAAGATAACAGCCTCCTTTGCACCTATCTATAATGTGTAGGAAAATAAGCTGCATGATCATGAGGGACTTCAATCTGCAAGACATATGCTGGCGATCTCATGCTGCCAGTCCTAAAACATCCCTGGAATTTCTAAACATTATAGCTGACAATTTCCTAACGCAAGAAGTGTTGCAGCCTTGGTAGGAGAATTCTTTACTAGACCTTTTCCTAACAAATAAAAAGGAACCGATCACAGAACTAAAAATTCATGGTAGTTGAGGTACAAGTGATCATGATTTGCACGCCGAATAAAGTCCAGACCATGAATATATACACCTGGTTCTTTAATGGGGCCAATTTCACAAAACAGAAAACATTTATGTGCCAAATCAGCTAGAAGGAAGAATTTAATCAGGAAAAAATGTGAACGATAACTAGGAATCATTTAAGAAAATGTTAGTAGATGCCCCAAAAGCCATCATCCCGCAACTGAAGAACAAGCCTGTGCTAGTTTTAAAAAAATGACCTGGTTTTAAAGAGGAAGTGTAGACAGTGTGAGAACGTGTAAAAACAACTGGAAAACTGGAAGAATGGGGGAGATGATAGTAGTGAATATAAATCAGAACTTGGGAATTGTGGAAAAAATAGAAGAGAAGCAAAGGCCACAGGAAAAATGTATGGTCAGCAGAGTTAAGGACAATAAAAAGACATTTTAGAATAAAAATATATTAGAAACAAAAGAATCCTGGCAATAGTATTGGTCCATTACTAGATGGAACGGGTTGAAATATTGATAACAAGGCACACAAGGCATAAGGGTAAATAAATATTTATATTTTGAGTGGGGGAAGGGACATCTAGTGATGATAACAGTCTTTCCATTCTACTAGAATAGTGATAGAAATGTAGCCGTGTTAGTCTGGGGTAGCTGAAGCAAAATGCAGGACAATGTAGGACTTTAAAGACTAACAAGATGGTTTATTAGGTGATGAGCTTTCGTGGGCCAGACCCACTTCCTCAGATCAAATAGTGGAAGAAAGTAGTCACAACCATATATACCAAAGGATACAATTAAAAAAATTAACACATATGAAAAGGACAAATCACATTTCAGAACAAAACAGGGATGCGGGGGGGGGGGGGGAAGGAAGGTGAATGCCTGTGAATTGATGATATTAGAGGTGGGAAGAGTGAGATGTTTGTGAGTTAATGGTATTAGAGGTGATCACCAGTTCTGGAATCCACAAATTAGGAAGATACTGATAAATTGGAGAGGGTTCAAAGAAGAGCCACAAGAATGACTAAAAGATTAGGAAAATCTGTCTCAGTGTTAGACCCAAAGAACTCAGTCTATTTAGATTACCTAAGAGAAAGTTAAGAGAGACATGATTACAGTTTATAGATACCTACATGGGGAACAAATATTTAATAATGGACTCCTAAATCTAGCAAAGAAAGGTATAATACAATCCAGTGACTGGAAGTTGAAGCTAGACAAATTCAGATGGTAAATAAGACATAAATGTTTAACAGTGAGTGCATTTAACCTTAGAATAATTTACAAGGGCTATGGTGGAATCTCCATCTCTGACAATTTTTAAATCAAGATTCGGTATTTTTCAGTGGTTTTCAACCTTTTTATTTCTCTAAAAAATTTGAATGGAGCAAACACCCCTTTGGAAATCTTAGATATAGTATGCAGAGTCCCATGGGTCTGCAGATCACAGATTGAGAACTATACCCTAGGTATTATTTGGGGAAAGTTCCATGACCTGTGTTATGCAGGAGCTGAGATTAGATGATCACAAGAGTCCTTTATGTCCTTGGAATCTATGAAACACCCCCCAACCCAATTCCTGCTCCCCTTTCCCTTCCTCCTACTCATCTTCTGGCCCCTGAATCTCTCCCCTTCTTCATCCCTCTGCATTCCCACTAGGATGACCCAACATCCCAATATTAGGAGGTGTGGCTAATATACACAGCTATATCCCCTGAAAAAAAGTGACAATTTTTCACACTTGCTATCTGGTTTCCCTTAATCCCACCGAGGTTGCTTCCTCCTTTTCCCCTGCACTACCTAGGCCCTGCAGCCAGAAACATGGAGAGAACAAAAGGGACCCTCCCTGCCCTCAGTTCCACTGCCCAAGCCGACAATGGTCCCCACCTACCGGAAGAAGCAATTGCAGACGCAGTCTTGCTCTGCCTTGCAGCTCCATGTTTGGAGCATGCCTGGTTGCTCTCAGGGTATGGTACATGCACAGTGCTGTGACACACAGCAGCAGTGAGAGGACAGAGAATGCTCAGTGCAGACAATCTTTGGGGAATTAAGCTACCAAACTCAAACACCTTTCTACAAACCATGTATCAACAGAGAGGTTTATAACTTAGCCAAATGTAGGCAGTTTTTTGTCCACAAGCATGCTAAAAGACCTCTAGAACTAGAGCTAGAACTGCTCAACAAAATCAGTTGTGAACATGTTTTGAGCATAGGCAAAACAACAAAGCTTCCCCTAACTCTGTTTTCACAAGCAGGTGAACTGTTTTAGCTGGAAAAAAGATTCAGTCTGAGACAAGTACCTTGTCTGGAAAAGTACAGCCCAAACAGCTGACGTTTGGCAAAATTCTGCTCCGCTGAAAACAAGCTCTTATAATGGGATATATGGAAAGTACCAAGGCAACCTTAATCACCTCCAGGGTACGTCTAGACTACAGGCTTTTGTTGACAGAGGCTTTGTCGACAGATACGGTCAACAAAGCTTCTGGCAACAAAGAGCATCTAGACTACATCCAGTTCTGTCGACAAAGCAAGCCGCTCTGTCGACATGAGAGTGTAGACGCAAAGGACAGTGTAGATGCAATAAAGCCTTCTGTTGACAGAAATCTATTGACAAAAGGCATTATTCCTCACTGAATGAGGTTTATTGCCGTCAACAAAACTGCTGAGTTCTGTCAATGCTATGTCAACAGAACTCAGCGGTAGTGTAGATGCAGGTATAGTTTTGTCAACAAAAGTCCACTTTTGTCGACAAAACCCTGTAGTCTAGATACATCCATAATGAAGAAAAGTGGGGAAGGGATAGTGCCATCCTCTGACATCAAAGGGAGGACAGTGATGGGAGTGAACAGAGACTGCACCATCCATTGGCACGAGAGGTAAATGATAGCTCCATCCACAGATGACCTAGTGAGCTGATCTCTGAGAGGTAAAGTTTAGTTCCAGTCTATGTTGAGCAGGGATCTGCTACCACCATATCTGGTTTTATTTGAGTTTACAGACAATATTCTAAACTGCCAATATTTGTTTTATTTTTTGTGTTTTTCCCTTCACTAGCATCCACTCCAATTCACTCTGCCCAAGATACACAGACTCTATCTCCTGGCTTTGAACTACCAGCTTTCAGCTTGAGTGAAGGATGATACACAATAATGATCCTGAAGGTCTGGCTGATTGTCACCAATTTTATAACAGGAACGTCATGTTTTAAATCTCAGAGGCGTTCTGCAGTGAAGGTTACATTGTCATGTTCTACTGTACCAATTAATGTCTAAAATGTGGGGGAGTTAGAGTACACAAGGAATTTGGGGGAAGTGTTTTAAATTGAAATAAAGTCTCTGAGCTACAGTAGCGGTGGTTAGATTTTTATCCCCCAAATCTAATTAGCAGAGTTTTAAAAGAGGGTCAATATTTGATAGGCTTTGTACTCTAGAGCTCTCAGCTTGGCTCAGAAAGGGTCGGGTGAATTAATGTTAGCAATAGCAGGAAACTTTTAGAAATGTCACTTGGCTTACGTGGGGCCTTAGAGTTGTTTCCATCAGGTTATGGTTGAGGCACATTTATGGAAGGACGTGAAGAGTTTCTGTGGCCCATCCCCTGCTGTGTCATTTGTGTGGCTAAATGGACAAAGAAATTTCTAGGGTAGTTGATCTAACACTGAATTCACATGAACACCCATGCAGCAAACAGGGATATTTAAAGCACTTGGAATTCAGTGCATGTGTCTTTGTAATGAAAGTAAATAATGACTGCTTTCATTCTGTAGGGTCCTGGTAGATTTCAGTACAGCCTGTGGGGGCAGGAACCTGCTTTTTAAAAAACAGATTATAACATGCTTAGAGCATTCTTGTGTGTTGTCTGAGGCCATATGATTATCTTTACACACTGTCAGTAGTCTCAGCAATTTCAATGAGGCTATTCATATGCATAAAGCACATGTAAGGTATATGTAAGATAAGGACTTGAGTAAAAAAAAAAATAACCTACCATTTCTGCTTCACTACTTGGGTTCAGGAAGAAGTCTCTTAAATTGAGGAAATACCCTCCAAGTTGTCCAATTAACAAAAGCAAGAAAACTCCATCTGCAAACTATAAGAAAAAACACCGAAGTATTATTTATTAATTTGGCTTTTACCAATGCCAGAAAAAAACATATATAAAGAGTTTTACTCGGAGATAAATGTTGTTCTATGGAAAGAGAAACTGAGAATATACACTATTAATTAAACAAGCTAGTGGTTTATTACCTCGACTCCGATTTATACACAAAATGTCATCTCTAGATATATAAGGCTCATAAATCCCTACTGGTAAGAATGTAACACTGTGTGGAGGATAGCAATACAAATGACCTTTTTGAAATGTCCCATGATGTTTGAAGAGATTTCAAACAAAAATAAATATGTATCTTTACATAAAAGGAAATTCCATCTCGGGTTCCTGATAGCAATCCCTTCAAAAGCTCCATTCTCAGTGATTGACACGGCAGTCTCCAGCCATATAATGCAAGCCACTGGAATTATTATTGCGTCAAAGGTTTTAATGGTTGTACTAAATTGCTAGGTGTGGGATAGGTTTCCCCTCCCCCTCCCATCCCTTTGCATGTGCAGGCCAAATGCCAAGAAGGAAAAGAGAACAAGGGACTTCCCCTATCCCAATTGGCCTCCACTAGTTCACCCTACTTTATCTAATCATAATCCCCACAATCTCACGAGCACAAGAACTGTTTCCCTCCCACTCATGTGCCCCAGGAGGCACCAAGTGCACCAAAGGGAGGTGGAAAGAGAGAGAGCTATAGTTCCACACCTCCTCACTGGGGTGAGCAGGTTGCACCCCTCCTCACCGATAGTGCATTGTGAACTCTTCCCTGCGCACTGAGAGATGCGAACTCTTCCCTTGTGGCTGATGAGGTGCAAACCCTCTTGGAACTCTTTGAGTGCTTGTGCCACCACATTGTCCCCAAAGCAGGCCTCTGCTTCTGGAATAAGCACGACCTATAAATAAGGCTATTGTTTGGTCACAGAGGTTGCAGAAGTCACAGAATCTATGACTTCGAGCAAGCCTGCAACTTTCACAGAGGCAGGAAGCTGTGTCCCCCCCTCAAAAGCATCAGAGCCCCAAACTCTGAATCACTAAGGGCAGGGAGGTACCCTGCAGCTCCCAGATGCCACAGGAAGCATGGGTACCCCACAGCTCCCAGCCTCTTTGGGAAACAGGGGAATTCCCAGAGCTCTGCAGCTTCCATGGGGAGCAGGGGGATCCCACAACTCAGCAGTTACAGGGAGTAGGGGATCCTCACAGCTCCCCACTGCTATGACAGGGGAGTACTCCATAGCTCCTAGCTACTGCAGGTGACAGGAGGATTCCCACAGTTCCCCACTGCAACCTCTACAGTCCCCTGATGCCATAGCAGGGCCGGGGTCCCCCACAGCTCCTCACCAGAGTGTCTGCAGGGGGATCCCTGCAGCTTCCTGCTCCTGGAGTAGGGGGACCCTGAAAGCACCCAGCCACCCACAGCTGCCCAGCTCTTTCCCATTTTATCAGGGATATTTTTAGTACAAGACACAGACAGGTCATGAGCGTCTGTGGATTTTTCTTTATTGCCTGTGACCTGTCTGTGACGTCTACTAAAAATGTCACTGACAAGATCTGTGCCTTACCCAGGGCTCTCCTTAGGATTTATGGGGCCCTACGCAGCACTATTAAACTAGTGCCTGTGTGCCCGATGGCAACCCAAGGGGACGGATATCGATTTTTAGAGGTGATATTATAATCGTCAGCAGCACACTAATGAAATGTTTTAAAAAACAAATTTTAAACTAAGATCCTATAGACTAACACAATAATTTCAGAACCTGACAGTCTATACCTGAGGTTGGCAGATACCTTTTAAATGGTTTCATTACCACTTGAATGGCTCTTTCACAGGTTCAATCCTCTTTGGTGGAAGCTGAGCAATAGAACAGGGATAGGAAGAGGCAAAGGGGTGGACACTAAGACCCAGTGGTGGGTGCCTTACTCAGCTGTGTATTCTGCGTATGAGTAAGGATAGTTCTGGCCTTACTTATAAATAATGGCCTTGATTTTCAAAAGTGACCAGTGATTTTGGGTACTCCTCTTCAGGTACTTCAGCCTACATCCATGGAAGCTGCCAAGGTTCAAGAGCCTCTGAAAATCAGAACCTATAAAACTACAACCATGAGACAGTGCTTTATACACACCCCGTATGTTCAATTTTTATCACTTTGGCATTAAACATCCTCCCAAATCGACATTTTATCTGCCTGGACTCAGGCTAGGAATGAATTTGTCTAGTTGCCAAGTTTAAAAGAGAAATATAGGAATTTTGGAGATGACAGGAAATATTAACATAACTGACAGACATTTTAACACACAGCTCTAAGTGTCTTACCTGAGTGTCAGCATCTTTCACATTTAATCCTAATTTTCCAACATGAATGTTGACAAAGTGCAAAAGCACCTAAAGAATGGGAGGGGAAAATAGAATTTTTAGAGACTTCTTTAATTATATAATGCAAATGCTAATGTCCATTTATAATTTAAAAGTTACCCTTTTCACATCATCCAGTTTGTCCTGTGCACGTGTGAATAAATCATCAAAGGCAGCAGTTTCTGTGGCAAAATATTCAATAAATGATCATTAGGATTATCTGGAGTAACTACCAGATGGGTGGTTGAACCAGCAAGGAGAACCCTCACTGCGTAAGCTCAGGAGAAGTCGTGTTGTGGGAGAACCCTGCTCCCCAATATTCTCTCCCCCACTTCAAATAGGAGACAAGGGGGAGCTGTGCTTCCCTTGACTAACTCCTTTGTCAGACAGAACAGTTTTTGATCAGCTTCCAGAATTTTCCCAGGCCTGGGCTCTCCTTGTTTATGCTGTATGAGCCCTAGGCAAGCTGAAATTCTGTGGGTTCCATAATTCATCTCTTTTCATTTGTGCACCTTACCCCTAACATCTGCAATACAAATTAGTAACAAAGAAGGGGCCTATATTACCATTCTTCAGTTCCTGAAATTTCCATTCTCATCAGTGGGAATTTTGCACAAAAACTGAGGGTGGAAAATGGCCCTACATTCAATGATAGAAATATTCGCACATAATTGTAAATCCATAGATTTGAAGGTCAGAAGGGACCACTAGAGTTATCTAGCCTGACTTCCTCAATAACAGACCATAGAACCTCACCCAGGAATTTCTACTAGCTTTAACCATAAGAACTAAGGCTGCACATTGGAACAAAATTTGGACATTTTCAATGAAAAAAATATTTTTTGTGAATTCCCACCACCATTTTCTGACCAGCTCTCATGAGAATTGTGTATGTCTCCTCACAATGCCCCATGAACAAAACTGCTTTTGCCTGAAATGAACAAAATTCTCCTACACAATTCAAATCAAAGGTATCATGCCAGTGTAACTGAGGGTATGTCTACACTACAGCGTTATTTTGAAATAACATGTCTACACACAAAATGCATTTTGAAATAGCTTTTTGCTATTTCGAAATAGTGCATCAACATTGAGTGGACGCTGAATCGCATTTAAGGCAGGCCAGAACCAGGTAAAGCAGCAGGGCATCAGGTCAAGAGTTACTTTGTGTGGCTGCTGCTTGAGGCTATCTGAGGGCTGTACTTAAAGGGACCCCCCCCCCCCGGATAGCCAGTTCTCAGGTTTCCCTGCTTGCTTGCCTACCTCAATGAGGGACAGCAAAGCATTTTGTCTCTGCGTGCTCTGGTTGCCCTCACTCGGGACACCACTGTACTCTGCAACTGGGAGCCAGAGCTGCCCCTGGGCACTCTGGTGCTTCTCGTGGACGCGTTGCTGTGAACCTGGCTGCACTTTCTGCAGGCTGCCATCTGGGAGGTCCATCGGGAGCCGTCAGTATCCAGGAGGCCCTGTGGGAGAGCTTCCACCCTGAGGAGCACCAAGAGCCTCCCTGGTGTGCCCCAGTGGGAGCTTGTGCCTCATTGCTTCCTCACATCCTTCCACTTACCCCTCCCTAACTGCCTTTCCTGATGTCAAATAAAATACACGTATTTTCATGAACACGAACTCTCTTTAACAAAACTGGGGGGGAGGGCAATGAAACTCTGGTGAGACCGGGGAAAGGAGGCAGGAGAGGGGAAGAGAGAGGATGGGAGAACGGAGGGGAAACCTGGGAGGAGGGAGCTGGAAGGGGGAAGCAAAGGGAAGAAGGGGAAGGGGAAGCTCAGGGTTGGGGATCTCACTGGACCGACTTGATTTTCATGCACACCTGCTCCTGGGTTCGCATGTGGCCTTTGGTGGCCAGGCTGACAGCTATCCTGCCATAGATGGCCACGTTCCTCCATCTAGTGCGGAGATCATGGACATTGGGTGCATCCCCCCCCCCCCCCACCCGCACAAC